GCTCATATAATTAATTCAATAAGAAATCTTTTGAATAACTAAAAAAGCTCAAAAAATCCTTTAAAAGTAATCGAATTAAATTTTAAATACTTTTAAAGCTTATTATCTACGTATTCTTCTTATGTAATGCGAAGCATTCACTTTATTAATACCTTACAAACCTTTAAAGATAAATGAACGCATTAATAATTACTTTTTATGATTAAGATATATAAACAATACTATAAATTAACCAAATAACATAAATTTCAGTTCACTATAGAATCGTACTTACGTGATAGTGGAACATGATCTCCTCCACTATTCAGCGAAATCACGTGTTGGTGACCATAACACGCGCCTAAAATATTATTTTTTAGACGGCTTTTAGCTTTTTTTATTAAAAATCTGTTTATTGATATATATTAATTTACAATTATTAGTTTATCGAAGCTTGGAGAATCAGCTGAGAGACCATTCAGTCTTGAAACTATGGCTGCGGACCCAAAATACTGTGGTGATGTTGAGCTTACCGAATATACTACCATGAAAGCTGGCTTTGAAATGTTAAACAAACGATATCGACGGAATCACAGAGAAATGGAAAAAGGTATCGCTGTTTTGGGCAAATCATTGGATGAGCTTGAAAATGCTGAAACGGTTGGTGAGGCAGTTGATCTTTTAGACAAAGTAATCAATGCTGTTTCCGGTTCAAAAAGAAAGGTTTGCTTATTTAATTATTTGGCTAATGTTTATAGGCCTCCAGTGTATTTACAGAGGAATCGAATCTTGTTCTTGCCTGTAAAAGGAGGATTGAGCATCTCAAACAAATATCTTTAAGCGAGGGGAAGAATTATCCTGGCCACCTAAGACAAGGTGAAGTTCCTCACAATTAATTTTTTGCTCTATACACTTAATTAATTTATTAACTATAGCTTTACGAGCTTACAACAATGAAGTTGTTTATCTCCCAGTCCTATATTATCAGTAATATACATTCTCAATACTTTCAAATTCTATTCCAGCTTCCGAATC